TATAGCAGCAATATTTGAATCTTTTATCATATATTAATATTTATGGTTAAGTCTTTTCTTCTCTAGTATAAAGTTTTAATATCATTATCATTTAATCAAAATGTATCTTTTACAAAAAAAAAAAAAAAGAAATTTAATTTTTTGTGTTTAGGTAAATATACTGATTTAGCTCAATCATCATCAAATCTTCAACAAATCTTACTTGATATATTTTCTTCTCCATCTGATGATTTACGTACAGCAGCATCATATACACTTGGTTATATTGGTATACGAAATTTAAATTCTCACATTCCATTTTTATTAAATGAAATAGCACGTAGTCAAACAAAACGTCAATATCTTTTATTACATTCATTACGTGAAATAATAGCATATCAAAGTCATGAAAATTTACCACAACTTGATGAACATATTGATTCAATATGGCGTACATTATTTGCACATTGTGAATGTCCTGAAGAAGGTACAAGAAATGTTGTTGCTGAATGTTTAGGAAAATTAACATTATTAAAACCTGAAAAATTATTACCTATTTTACGTGAAACATTTATTAATCATGCAGAAAAACAACAATCATCATCACCATATGTACGTTCAACGATAATAACAGCAATTAAATTTACAATTGTTGATCAACCACAACATATTGATACAATTTTAAAAGGTTATATTAAAGATTTTTTGAATGGTCTTGAAGATAAAGATATTGATGTTCGACGTGTTGCACTTGTTATGTTTAATTCTGGTATGTAGAATTTTGATTTTCGATTTATATTTTATTTTATTTTATTTTATCTATTAGCTGCACATAATAAACCAATGTTAATACGTGATTTACTTAAAGAACTTTTACCTAAACTTTATAATGAAACTCGTGTACGGCTAGAACTTATTCGGGAAGTTGAAATGGGTCCATTTAAACATACTGTTGATGGTAAGATTTTTAAAAAAAAACAGTTATTTTCTTTTAAATAATAATACAAATATTTTTCTATTTTATAGATGGTCTTGATCTTCGTAAAGCAGCTTATGAATGCATGTACACACTATTAGACAGTACGTATATTAAAAAAACCTAAGATTATCCAGATTTTCTTAAAAAAAGTTTAATTATGAAGCATATATGGGTCATTTCAGACAAAACAAAACAAGACATACATACCTTTCATTAGACTTTGATTCTTTATAAGATTTATTTTTCTGAATAAGTTCATTTAACATAGACATATGTAAAAATGTTGGTTCTTCCAGTGAATCTATTAATTAAAAAGTAATTAGCAAATACCTCTCGAACCATAGGAGAAAAACATCTGAAAATTTCAGAATAGACTCTACGGTACGAACTACATCTGTGATGAAATTTTCAGCAAGATCAAACTCAAAAAAAAAAACTTCGTCATAAAAATTAGTGTTCTAGAAATTCTAAAAAAGGATTTGTACTATTTGAAATTGCTTTTGAACTTCTCATTCAGTTACAAGAGCATTTTTTCATACTCCGTCATGTTGCTAACGAAAAGTGAATCGATTTTTTTGAAAAATGTGAACATGCTCAGAAAAGACTGTAAATAGAGCTTTTGTAGCGTTAGCAATTGTTATCTTTTTTTAACGTTAGTTTTTCTTTTATTGATAACTCCTCTAAACAAAGATCTTCAGTACTGATTTTTTTTTCAGTGTATCTAAAGTAGACATGTTTTAATTTTGTAAGATCACGTTGTTAACGAATGATTTTGCCCGTATATACATGAGATTGTTTTGAAAAGGTTAGAGTACATTGAAAGAAGATACAGGCATTAATAAGATTAGACATATTGATAATGCTTTTGTTTTTGATTCAATATTCTTATAAAACTAAGAAAATGAGATAATGAGGTAGAATCTACAGTTGAGACGAAAAGTTTTCCCTTCTATCAAAATAAAGGAAAAGCTGGACACATTAGAAGAAATTTTCATTTCAAGAAATAATGAATTCTATATTTAAATAAAAAAAAAATACAACTAAATAATTTTCTGTAATGTTCTTCAATACGTATTGATACACACAGGTAGACTCTATATGAACACGAGTAAATCTAAAATATTCATCTGTAATCTTAATAAAATATTTTGATATTCAATTATATATAAAACAAATAAAACTATTAACAATTCAATTTCTAAATTAATATAATTTATTTTATTTAGCATGTCTTGATAAACTTGATATGTTCGATTATTTAACATATGTTGAAGATGGTCTTAAACAAGATCATTATGATATACGCATGTTAACATTTCTTATGGTTGTACGTTTATCAATACTTTGTCCAACAATTGTATTACAACGACTTGATCGTCTTGTTCAACCATTAAAAGCAATTTTACAATTAAAAGTTAAAGCTAATAGTATAAAACAAGAATTTGAAAAACATGATGAATTACGTCGTGCTGCAATTAAAGTCTTTCTTGCATTACAACAAATAAAAGATGCTAATAAAATTGCATGTATTAATGAATTTGAAGCACTTGTAAAAAGTTCAAAAGAATATCAAGATTTATATAATACTGTTATTCATGAACAACAACAATCATCATCTGGATTTAGTTTTAATACAAATAACAATTCTGAAGCAATGGATATGAGTTAAAAACTAAAGAACAAAACAAACAACAAATATATTCTTTTAATCCCGGTGTTGAATTGACTGACTGGTCTTCCTTTGCTTCTTCATTTTCTCTAATTTTTATTTTTACTTTTCTCTTTTCTCTTGCGTCACTTGTGGTTTTTTTTCTTTTCTTCTTATCTTTTTTTTTTTTCTCTCAACATCATCGAAAAAACAAAATAAAATTATATTGTATTGTATGAGTGTGAAGTTTAATACCACTCTTTTATTGAATGATCGCCAGATGAAAAAGAGATTAAGTATTTGATATTCAATTCTTTTCGTTTTCTATTCGATACATGATGCAATCTTTATTCTTAAGAAACAAAAAAGAAAGGAGCTTAACGTGTGACAAAGACCTGCTCTTTTATTTTACATCAGTTTGATGACGACAACGAGTAATAACATTCATTCATTCACGCAATTTTTTTTCTCCTACACTCTATCATCAATTAGTGATGCATGACGGCGATGCAAAGAAGGACACATATTTACATGCATATATAACTTCCTTCTTCCGGTCATAAGTTATTTTTTTGTGCATTACTAAGCAATGGGCAAAGCAGTATCGAAATTGACTCGATCATTAGGTTATGTTAATAATAAAACTGATATTGCTGCAAATAATCCTGAAATACCAGCAACATCGAATCCTCCCCAATGGGATACAACAATTGATCAATTATTTGGCGATGCACCTCCTGATGACAATGTTATTGCTACACCAGATATTTCAGATGTTCCCATCAAACCAAAAAGACGACGAAGATCACCACCACCACCTCCATCTACATTACATCGTGGTCGAAGACGTCATCGAGGAGCAGTACATTCATTGAGAACACCAATTGTACCAGAGATGCCTAGAAGATGTGCTACAGGTAGAGCACACGCATTGAATAGATCGTTTGGTATAAATCGACGACCAATAGTTGTACCAGCACCAATTACTGAACGTGAAAGATCAAGTCGAACTGCTACTTCAACAAATTTTAAACGACGACCATCAAATCGTCGAAGAAGGTAATGGGATTTTCATATTCTTTTAATGACACGTTTCAAATTTACTCTCATTACATAATTCAATATTGATAGAAATAAAACTAACCGACAAATTCCTTGACATTTTATAGAATTAAAAGATTAATTTTGGATTAATATAGAAATGACCTTGTTTTACTTTAAAAGACAAAAAAATTAAAACTTGACAGGTATACACTTATCTTTGTTGTTTAGACTATCATCACAACGTTCTCAACGTTTACAAGAATTACTTCAATGTCCTGTTTGTTTGACACCATTTATTGAACCTCGTCTTCTTCCTTGTGGTCATACTTATTGTGATGAATGTCTCAATCGTTTAATGCAAAATAATAATGATGTTGTAACGTAAGATGTCTAAATGAACTAAAAAAAAACATAAACAATCTAATCATCCTTTTGTTTTCAATTAAAGTTGTCCAGAATGTCGAAAACAACATTTAGTTCCTGATGATGGTGTTTTTCCACCTAATTTTGTTGTTCGTAATCTTCTTGATGAACAAGCTATGTCAACATGTTCAAGACTAATGACACCAGGCAATCTTTCGTTGAATACTAGTGCTACAGCTAAATGTACAACATGTGAAACATTTGCACCCTTACGTTTATGTCGCCATTGTAATTTTATGGTATGTGACAGATGTTTACGAGCACATCGATATGGTATGAATTGGAATAAATATATAATTTAGAAAAATAAATTTCTATTATTTAGATTCAAATAATCAAGATGAACATTATAAACGATCAAAAATATTGCAGTATATTATTTCATGATTATTATTCTTAGAATTTGTTTTATTTTTTGAATTCTTTTTTTTTAGTGGTAAATTAATACAATTTTATGTAGCTGTACGTAAAATAACTTCAACTAATTCTCAAGTAAAACGTTTAACAATTGAAATGCCTGTGGGTAATTATGTTCGAGATACATGTGAAACACTTATACGACGTGTAGCTGAACGTGAACAATTGTCATCAATGACAAATCAACTTGTACTAGAATTTGGTGATAAACGTTTAAGACCTCAACGAACATTAGCTTCATATGGTGTACAAAATGGTGATCTACTTTTTCTTTTTAATCCTGATCAACGACTTAGTTTTCTTGCTTATGAAGATGAAGAAAATTTATCTGGATCATCATTGTTACCTAATAAAGAAAAATCTCGTTTTAGATCAAGTAGTCATAATAGTAGTACAAGTGATATTCGAACAACAACATCAAATGACATGATTTACAATCATATACATCATCCATTAAGTACTATATCCGATCATGATAATTATAGTTCATCAGTGTATAGCGATAGTTAGTTAGATATTTTGTTCACCATGAAGAAAAACTTTATATTGTTGAAATAAATTCCAACATGTTCCATCTTTTTCTATAATTTCTTTTGCATGTGTAGATTTCTGAATACAACGATTTAATGTAAAACAAGCTTGTAATTTTTCATCTCGCATTCCACGTTTAAATAAAATCATGAATGAATAAAGACGATTATCATCAATAAGTATAATATCAATTGGCATTTTATTAATAGCATATGCTATAACCCATGCTGATAAACCTGTACTTATCATAAGAATTTCATGTTGTACAATTTTTTTAAAAAAATGAAAAAGTAATTTAACTGTTGATTGATATATCATTAAATTTTCATAAACTTGTTTACCATTGAGATTAATTAAACAAAGAAGTAATGTTACACGAAAACGTTCAGTTGTTTTAATTTGTTCTTGTTCAAAAAGAAGTTCATTTATAATATGAAATGTTTGTTCAATATTTAAATGATTTGTATTTATTGTTAAATTATGTATTATACTTATTATTGATTGATTTAAATTATCTGTAAGTTTTGCTAAATTTTCTTCAGTTTTTAAATTTTTTAAATATTCTAAAAAATTTTTTAATAAAAATTCAACAAAATATTTATTATTGGATAAATAAATACGAAATTCCATACTTATACCAGTAAAATTCCATAATGTATAAAGAATAAATTGTGTTGAACGTCTTATTGATGTATTACTAAATATACCAATTTTCATAAATTCAATTAAACAATTGTGAACTATAGAACAATAATCACATTCTATCAGTATACGTGCTATACGTGAATCATCTTGATTCAATGGTGAATGCATATAGAATAGATCATAGATGAATTCAAGTGCATCTTCATGATCGATTGAATCGATTGGTAATTTAGAGAGTTGTTCAAGTATTTCTTTTATATAATGTGATGGAACAGCATCATCAACAGTTGCTTCTGTAGTATTACTTGTATTCACAAAATTTACGTCGCCCTTGATGACAGGTATATGTCGATCAGAAACATTATGTCCAATTGAGTTTGAAGTACCTCGAGACCAGTTTGTTGCAACTGTAGAAGCAGATGTTGGACGACGGGAATTTTCTAGAGATGTTGCCATGAACTTCTTTTTAATATAAATGAAACACAGACTTGTTTATTTCAAATCTTATTTATACTTCTGTTGTTGTTTTCCTTGCATGTTATGATTATTATTTTATCCGAACAATAATAATTAGAAATTTCTTCGTTTCTAATGCGTATAATACTAAGATATTAACAAAAACGATTGTGTTCGAATCAAAATTTTTTTCTTTGCAATCATGCAATTAGTGACATGAAAAAGTACATTGTCCATTTATTTTATTTGACATTTCGTTTTTTTTTTTTGATTTGGTGTTTAAGTTAATATTGATATATGTGTACTATTTTTAAAATGAAACCTTTCTATTTTTATTATTTCATGATGATAATACGTTGTTCTCGTCACTCATAATGTCCAATAATTTACTCTCTTTTTTTTTTTTTTGCTATTCAAGTAAGAACGATAGGCAATGTGAAAAAGAACAAAATAGCCTTGAGCAGCATAGTATTGTATCATGTCGACATTCGTTGATTCATTTGCATCGAGAAAGAGCTTTTTTTTTGTATGTACGTATTGATTTTATGCCTCTTGTATTTTATTTTTTTCGTTGTCATAAAAAAGGACCTTAGAAAAAGAGTAGAGAGTGGAAGAACAGAAAAAGAGGGAAGAAAAAAAAAATGTTAGGCTGCTCTTTATTCGTATACTCTGTCGCTTTTTTTTCTTCGATGCATGTGTCTTGTGTAATATAATGTATGCCAACAAACAAATTTTTATCCTTTTTGTGGTGATATTTTTTAAAGAAATAGAATGTTCGTTTTGGAATGAAATACCTCCACGATGTATTTATGATCGCACAGCATTATTTTTTTGTTGGAATACTACATTTACTCATCCAATACCATTATTCAATGATTTAGTTTATACACTTCAAAATCATCATGTTGAAATTCGTGATTCATACTTTCAATTATCATTACGTGATTTATTAGTTCAAGTTGGTACAAATATTGAAAATTTAACATTAATTAATAATAAATTTTCATCATCTGGTATTGAAACAAATTTAATATTTGAAGGTGGAATTTTTTTTCGTCTTCTTTCAACACTTACTATTCATGATCAATATGGTATACAATGGTCTCAATTAAATGCTTCATATTTTCCTCAATTAATTAAACTTGATTTATCATATAATCAATTTACTAATAAACGAAAACTTGTTTTTGATCATGAATATTATCCTAAACTTAAATATCTTAATTTATCACATAATCAACTTAAATCACTTGATAATTTAATTGGAAATAGTTTAAATACACTTGAAATATTAATATTATCTTATAATCCATTAGAATCAATTATAAATCAACTTAATAAATTTCAATCACTTATTACAATTGATTTATCATCAACATTAATTAAACAATTATTTAGTATAACATTATTACCATATTTACAAACATTTATTTGTCAACAATGTCGAACTATTCCAACATGGGAATATGAAAAATTTATTTCTAATTGTTCAAAATTAAATAATAATAATAAATTAACAATTGATTTAACAAAATCAAATATATATTCAATAAAATTATTTAATCCATATATAAAATGTATTAAAAATTTAATATTAAATGATCAAAATTTAGTTAATTCAATAACAACAAATGATCTTCTATTTAGTATAAATCTTGAAAGTATTCAAGCAAAATCTAATTATGATATTGATTATATTTATTTAAATGTTTATGATCATTTATCATACATTGATTTTAGTGATAATATTTATTTAAATCAAGTTATGTTACGTCTTATGTCCAATTATACTCATATACAACGTTTAATCATATCACATACAATATTAAATGATTTTTCAATTGATTTTTATAATACAAAATTGAAATTTTTACATATTGATGTAATTGATATGAGTTATAGTCGTTTAGAAACACTTGATTTTCTTAAATATTTAACATTTCGTACATTAGATGTTAGTTATAATCGTTTAAAAATAATTGATATCGATAAAATTCATTATCGTCATGGTATGTATGATTTATCTTTAATGAATTTATTAAATATGTCATCAAATGAAATGGAATTTATTAAAATTAATTGGGATAATGAATCACCACATACAATTGATTTATCACAAAATAAACTTGAATCAATTGAATTACATGGTCAAACAACATATACACTTTTATTAGCTAATAATTCAAAATTATCATTAAATAAAACAACATCTAATATTGATTTACCATTATTACAATATCTTGATTTAACATCAATTCAATTTGATTCATTTGAATATCTTATTTATCTTCATAATCTATCAAATATTCATACATTAATACTTAATAATAATCATTTATTAAAACAACATCGTATACTTAATTGGAATATATTTTATCCATGGCATCAATATTTAACACATCTTTCTGTACGTAATATGTCAATTGAACGAATTGATTATGGTGCGCGTTTAAATGATTATTATCATTTATTAACAATTGATTTTTATTCAAATAATCATCTTAAATGTGATTGTACATTACAACCATTTCTACATTGGTTACAAACACCTCCACCACCATTAATAGATTTTTATGAACCATTACAAAAATTACTACGTATTGATTGTCCAATATCATTATTTGATTTACAATGTGAAGATGAAAATAATGAAACACCAAGAAGATTTTATTTATCATCACATTCATCATTTTTTAAAGCATTATTTATTTTAATTGTATTCATATTAAGTTCATTTACAATACTTAAATTAATCGATCGAAGATTAAAACGAATACAGTCAAGATTTTATCAACAAGTTTATACTGATGCTGATGTTATAACATTAAATGAACGAAATATTACTCATAAAACAGATCAAGAACATTGTACCGATGCTGATGTTATAACACTACAAGAACGAAATATTACTCATAAAACAGATCAAGAACATTATACCGATGCTGATGTTATAACACTACAAGAACGAAATATTATTCATAAAACAGATCAAGAATAAAAAGAAAAATATTAAACATATGTAAATAGAAGCTAGAATACCATTGTTTGCCTTTCTTTTTTTACTTATCGTATTTATAATAAAAATATAAATAACATATTATTCACTCATGTAGTGTTTGTCTCTATGAAGTTTTCGTGTAGGATGATGTCAAAGTTTTGGCGAGAAATTTGACAGATTGTCGAAATTCAGATGACGAAATTTCACACACTCATGACAACTGGCTGTTGAGAAGTATGATTCTCTTTTGTTACAGTTACAATAAGTAATATGCTGTCGATAAACGAAACCAGTCATTTGAATAAATTCTAATAACCATCTCGTGACAAAGCATCAAAAAATTTTAAATGACTATCAAGTCGAAATATATTCTTAGATAGTATTCTATTGGGCGATTCTCTGGGAAATGTATGACGATTACACCTACTGCATTCGAAGTGTTTTAAACTTTCAGATGGAGTAGGGCTTAATATCTTCACATCAAAAATCACCTTCAAACATTTTTAAAATGATGTCTTCATACCTCCCGACTTGAGTGACTGTCTAATTCGAGTTCGAATATAAACGAAAATTTCGAAACCACACCAGTACCTAGTCGACAAAAGCAAAAGATAAAATTTTATCTGAATTATAATTATAACTCGAATAGGGTCTACTCTGTGAGAATCAGTAATGCATTTAAGGGCTGAATTCGTGGCATAATTTAAACTTATCTTCGAGTGGTCAACTATTCTCTTCGTGGTACCAACACCAGATGCGGTGGCCTGTGTCCGTGTTGCTTGACACTCTTATTGGTAGCGATGACAGTTTTACATATTTTGGTTCTCACGGGAAATTTCAACTTTCAAAATCAATTCTTTACGGCGAAGTCAGCTACTTTCTGAAAGTTGTGTTGTTTCCGAAAAGTCATTGGATTCCTTGGAAACTCGTATATGCCATCATATGACCTAGAAATTCTCAAGATTTCCTTGACATCCCGCAGAGTATCAGTAAAATACGCTCTGATCCACTGTAGCTCACTCTGAACGACGTTTTAGTCGGAACTTATATCAGTCGATAGTGTTTGAAATTCTGAATCTACTGAATCCCGTTCTGAGCCGTTTTAAAAAATGTTTCACGAAGATTAAATGCAAAAACCTTTTAGAGTGGTCTACTCTGATCCACCCTGAACCACTTTGAGTCCAAAGCTAAAAAAGAAAAATAAATGTTCAGAAAGTTAAGTCAACTCTGACTCTCCTGCATAATTTTACTCATTATAAGTATCAGGCATTCATCACAACTTCATATAACGTTACTTTTCCGAACATTTATTTTTTTTGAGCTTTTGGTTCAGAGTGGTTTAGGGTAGGTCAGACTGGCTCAGAGTAGATCAAAATGGGTTAGAGTGAGCCATTCTAAAAGGTTTTCCCATTTAATCTTCGTGAAATGTTTTTCCAAAACTGCTCAGACTGTAATCCAGTAGATTCAGAATTTCAAGCTCTATCGACTGGTATAAGTGCCTACTAAAACGGCGCTCAGAGTGAATCACAGTCAGTAGTGACACATTCAGCAAATTGATAACGCTGTAGAAGTTCTTGGAGATGCAGGAGATGCCAAACTACCTTTAAACACATAACTCCATTATGATAGGTAGATGTATCATACCTACGAATCTTCTAGAGAGATCCGGCATCTCCCACACTGGCGTTTCTCAACATTTCCCGATGAAAAATTCTTTTCAATGTTTAGGTTAGAATTTCTGCAAGAGATGCATCTCTCTAAGGAATACCGCATCTAAAACTACTTCTCTCACGGAGATGCGGCATCTCACAGCATCTTCCGATGAAAAAATTTTTCTAAATTTTTATGGGATAATTCCTGCGATAGATGGGTCTTTCGAAGAAAATGGGGCGCCTCCTCGAGAAATGGCGTATTTCAAAAGTGCATATGGCTCCCGTGAAGATCACGAAGAAACCATAAACACATACTCAAACAACAACACACTCATACCTCAGAATGTGGG